GATAATTTGTTACAGGATGGACATAAAATAACTTTTTGCTGGATCCCAGGTCATACAAATATAACAGGAAACGAAGTTGCTGACTCAATAGCAAAATCAACAAACAATCTATCGAACAATCCACTGACTTATTCTGACGTAAAAAAATCAATTCAAAATATTCTCGAATTACAATGGCAAAACTGTTGGAACAATGAAACTAATAACAAACTACACGCCATTAAAACTTACATACAGCCTTATAAACAGTTAAACATCAGTCGAAGACTTGAAGTGCTTTTAAACCGCTTGCGTATTGGCCACACACGAATAACTCATAAACACCTTTTTCTAAACGAACCAGAACCAGAATGCACAAATTGTAAAGAACCTTTAACTGTTATACATTTTTTGATAGAATGCAGTAAATTTAAAAACCAGAGACTGCGTCATTTTGGTACCTTCCATCCGTCATTGTTTTCACTAATTGGAGATGATTTTCACTCTAACATTTTCTCATACCTTAAGGATATTGGCATTTATACATCTATCTAGTTTTTAAACCAAAACAGAATTGTGAACCTAGCTGTAGAATATCTACCTAGTTGGAGGCGCGATATAGCCAAAACTGGCTCTTGCGCCAAAAACCCAAACAACCAACCAACCAATCGTCTAAATTTACTTAAATTTAAAATACACTTTATGCAATATAACACTTTACTATAATGATCAGCATTGTAAAATTCAAAGATAAGCTCTCATTTCAACCAATAACAAAAATGTATTTTGGTACATTAGTCTTGCACCTGCCTTCATTGAATTCTTAAAACAATCTATTACATTTGCATTATAATATTTCATTTAATGGCTCTGAATTTTATATTAAAATTAGTCTTAATACTTATTAAGCAGCCCTCGTATATATTTATACTCAGGGTATTTACCTTTTTAGGTAAATACGGGATTCACAACTCCGAGGTACCTTAGTGATCTCTCCTCTTACACTTTTGTGTAAAGCTTAATTTATAACACCTTTTTTTTGGTACTTTAAATACATATACGATATACACTTTGTGTAGTATAACACTTTACTATAATGATCTGCATTGTAAAATTCAAAGATGAGCTTTGATTTCTTAAACCAATCTATATTACATTTACATTATAAGACGCCAACTAGTGGCTCTAAATTTCATTTTACGATGCCACCTAGTGGTGAATAATTTTATCAGATTCAAATGCATTACCATCAGAGTGAGTAGAAGTTATGAAACTTTTTAGTTTACTAATTTTTTTCTTTTATATTTCCAAAATTGATAAACATATGAAGTAATTAGAATTATATGTGTATTAAAACTGTATAGTAATCTTAGTTAACTCTTCATCTTTGCAACTATCTGGCAATTGGGTGTTTTTCCTCCCTCAAAATACTCCTATTTTCAAAGCAAAACTGAATCGCATTACTATAGCATTTGATGGTTTCTTATACACTTATGATGCACATGGTTACAGTGGCATTCTTATGAACTTTTTCTGATAGGTATAGAATTTCTATGTGTATTGCCAAATATTTCTTACAATTGAAAGGGCCCTATGGTAGGCCTCCAGACTGTGTTTCCCTGTACAGTAACTTTGATGAAATTTCACTTCTGTAGAAAAGAAAATCTAGTATTTTTTTCCCCGTTGTCTTTAAAATACAGTGAAACTTCTCCTAAAGGCCACCTCTATTAAGGGCCAATATTTTGAGGAACGAAAATTTTCCCCATAGACATAATGCTAATTTTCCTCCCATTAAAGGGCCACATTTTCCTGACTACCTCCAATAAAGGCCATTTTTTTACATTTTTCTTCTCATAAAGGCCATAAATCTAAACAGGTGTGTCCAATTCTTTAACTAAAAGATAAGATTTCAGGAATTCCAAACACCTGCACTTTCAAAAAAGAAGGGGGGGAGGGTAGGGGGAAGATTTAACACAATGAAGACTCAGAAGCTGTTCCATAAGTGAGAAAACAGGTGTTCATCGCACTCTGTTTGACCTTTCCACTTCCTTTTTATACTGAAAAATTTTGAGCATTGGGGGAGGAACTTGACCTTTTGTTGTGGGTGCACAAAGGCTAACAGGTTTCTAACTTCTAATGTCATCGATAGAAACTAACTCTTTTAAGAGCAAGAAGATATTGCATGTATTTGCCCGGAAGGATACGACGGAGGCATGGTAAAGCATAGAAAAGGAGTCGCGTTTTCCACTCATTAGCTTTCCAATATTTCCTTTCCGTGATAGACCTTGGCAGTCGAGTGTTTCATTACATGAGGTGGTTGGATTTTTAGCAAGCGTCTATCAATACGCCGCAAATCAGTGGGAGATCCTACGTAAAATTGCCGCCTACACTTGATAAATATATTTCCGTGATCTGCCGTGTCACACCAAGCAAAACTGCGTGCATATACTCCAGTCAAATTCCACGAATTAAGTCCAAACCTTCAGCAAGAATCAAAGGTGAAGACCCTTTAACACCGTTTATATTGCCTTTATCTTCATCCAGAACTCTGCTCATGATCTCTACGGTCTGCTCTGTCCTCAATTCTGGATTTTCCTCTAAGGTGTTATATTTCATTACTTCTTCTATCAATGTTCCAGGATGTAAAGACCAGGAGCAGCCAAAATAACAATTAAATTGGTTCATATTCTGAACTGCACATCTGGCCGGAGAATCAAAACATCCACATACTTTGTATACATAGATTCGACATATTTGTCTCCATTTTTCCATCGAATGCCTTGTTCAGAGAGATCAGTGAGTTTCTTTATGTATATTTCCATGAATAATTTCATGTTTGGATGGCCTTTTCCAAACCAACGATACAATGTGCCCATCTTAGATGAGGAGGGAGTTCATTGATGAGAGCCTGAATTAGCCACATACTGGCTCGCGATGATTTAAAAACAGGAATTCCATCCCTGTTCATTATTAAAATGATATCTGAATCTTTAAACATATTTCTTTTAGCCTCATGCTGTTGGGCATTCAGACATAATAAAATCTGTAAAAATTAAAATATAAATGTGTTTGTAAGACAGCACTTCTTCAGGGGACACATTGTCTACAAACACACAGGAGCCTTTCTGTTGTCAGTGGAATAACCAAAACTGACAGTGCCTCGAGGCCCCATAATGAATAGACAAAAAGGATATCATTATCATAATTGAAAAGCACTGTAAATAATAAACAGGAAACATTACTTAAAATACATAAAGTGAGACTTACAATAGGAACGCCTCATTCTGAATATAAATATAGTAACAGTTACAGTTAGATAAATCACATCAAATTAAAATGAAATAAAATTTAAATTGCCGAATTTGAAGGGAGAGGAGAAAAAATTCAAGATACCGAAAAGTCGAATTATCGAAAATCGCATGTTAGAATAAAGAAAAATGCTCTTTACATACCTTATTTACTATTCCATATTTATTCTAAAATCACTTTTTACACTTTTCAATTGTTGTTTGATTTAGAGATGTGTAAGTAAGTTTGTCTATAACACTTTCTAAGTGGACTGTAGCTTTAAATGTCTCCTCTGTCATATTCGGCTGCCTCTCAATAAATCTCATCACAGTGTCCACTGCAGAAAGTGCTTGTTTGTTAGTAACATTAGGTGGTAAGTCTTCGATTTCTTCGTCCTCTTCTGATAGTTCACAAGAAGCTTTCGTTTGAGCGATGATATCATTGTCATCCCACTGACCACACACTGTTACTGCATCATCTACGTTTACAAAGTCATGAAATTCTATGCCATCAAGCTTCATGAGTCAGGTCAATCTGTCCCAATCATTTTCGGTGTAGTTTTCAGCAGAATTAACGATATTGATTGTTTGACTACTTTCGTGATCTTTAACGAATCCAACCTTTTTGAAGCCATTCATTATCGTAGAGGAAGACACATCATTCCATGCCTTGTTAGCCATTCGCATAGCTTGTAGAACACTAACACCGGATAGTGAAACCCCATCTTCCATTTCGGACAACATTTTTTTAACCACTTGTACACTACTGTACTTTAAAACTTTGGATGATGTCCTGATCAAGTTGTTGAAGGCTTGAGGTAGTGTTTGGGGGGGATAAATTCAATTTTTTCGCTTTCCATTTTTGGTATGGTATTGTGCCCCGTACAGTTATCGACGAAAAGCACAATTTTCCGTTCTCCTGTTTTCATTTTCTTATTTAAATTTTTAAGCCAGCCTTCAAAAAGTTTTGATATTATCCAAGCTTTTCGATTAGTTTCATATTCTAAAGGAAATGATTTTATGCCCCTGAAACAACTTGGTTTTCTCGATTTCCCTATCATCAACGGTTCTAACTTTTCTGTTCCATTCATATTTGCGCAAAACAATACAGTTAATCTCTCTTTACTTCTCTTGCCTCCATTACATGCTTCACCCTTTACGTTCATAGTTTTGTCTGGAGTGCATTTTAAAAAAAAAGTCGTTTCATCCGCATTGAACACGTCTTTTTCGTTGTAATCCTTCACGATCAACGGACTGTATTACGAATAATTTAAGGATAAACGATAACTATTTAAAAATGTTTATTAACGAAACAATGAATGACGCCATACTGCAGACGTCTGACTATAACAGAACAATAAAACAACAAGAGATCTTTTCGCCAAATTAAATAGATAAAATGAAGCCAAAGCCGAGAGTGGCGCCGACAAATGCTTTTGAAAATGAACAATTTCAATATCAGAATTATGTTTTTGAAAGTTTTTTTATGACTGATCTATGACTATTAATTCGTTTATTTAACTCAGTACCTGTTTGTCCAATACATTTAAGTGAGCACGTTCTACATTCAATAAGATGGATATTTTTCTGTTTGCAAAAAAGAAATTTCCTAGAATCTGAAATTTGGTCTGAATGGTAACAAAACAATTGATCAGGTAGCCTGTTAACCACAGTAGATCCCTGAACAAGTTTATCTGCAGGACCCCTTGTTAACCCATGCGACGGGTCATATGTTATAAAAATATCAGTAATTTTACTATTCATATCAAGATAAAATGATCCAATACATGAAATAAAACTAACCATTACGGGAACAGGACCAGAAACTCCATAAAAATTACTAAATCATGAAAAACACAATTTATGAAGTTTAAAAACATAATAATTTCCAAACAAGATTGCGCAAATGCAGCAAATCCACATACGTATGAAAATAAGAAATCTAATCAGAAAATGAATTCAATTTACAAAAGCAAAAAATGAGACAAAGTAAATAAACTATTAAATCAAATTGGAAAAGCAGCTAAAACCAAATTTACTTCTTATAATTTAGAAATTCAGACATACATAAAATCTGTAAAAATTAAAATATACATGTGTGTTTGTAAGACAGCACTTCTTCAGGGGACACACTGGAGCCTTTCTGTTGTCAGTGGAATAACCAAAACTGACAGTGCCCCGAGGTCCCATAATGAATAGACCAAAAGGAAACCAATATCATAATTGATAAACAGTGAAAATAATGAACAGGAAACACTACCGTCATGTGGGGCTACTTTGTGCAAATTCGAATTAGGCACTTTTCAAGTGCTGCTATTCAGTATTATGCTTTTTTTCACGTTAAAATGTGTGGAATTTGAAGATAGAAGTCTCTTCTATTACTACAAATTTTTTTTCGAATTTTAAAACAATCTCAGAGTGTGTTTTGTTTATCCAATGTCAACAACTTACCGAGAACGTCGGACGTCGAAAAGTGTGCGAGGAAGCTTCAACTGTGAACTTTCTTGCACAAAACATTGGGGCAAACCATAGGGTCATTAAATTCTTCGGTAAGTTAACCTTCAAATTTCCCCTAATAATTATTGCAATAGAAATGAAATGTCATAGAATCTGCAGTCCCTAAGATTTTGTTGAAGGACTGCTTTGTCTCGAGAAGCACAAATTTGCCGAAAATTGTATTGAATAGTTTCAACAAATCTTCAACTGCAGTTCAAGATAATTTGTGCTTCATTGCATAGACCATATCATTAATAGAGTTTCGGCAGTACTAGACGATGAATTTGGAAACAAAGGCTTCTCAAAACTCTTCAAATTTTTCGCCAAGTGATCAGATCTAAACGTGCGATCATTATAGAAATCATCCTCTTCATGTGTTTCAGCGTATTCGTCTTCCGAATGCATCCATTCACCATCGAAGCAACAGGGATCGTCAACATTTAAATAGTCATCGTCAGACAATTGGAGATCTAGATTCTGCTCGTTCTCCGGTCTAAAATTGCCGAAAGCCTGTCCGACCGTTTCAAGAACATTTTCCAATTCCTATTGCATAGTCTCTTCGGCTAAATTTAGCACTTTGTTAGGTACAATCAATGACTGACCTCGCCATACAGATGTTCGAGGCACAATCGCTTTCTGGTCCGTAGCATCAGTCTCCAAATATTTTTTCCTCTTCTTAACCAGATGTTTATTTTCACTCATAATTAAGCTGTTTTAATAATCAAAACAAATAATCAAAAAACTTTAATTCGCGTAGATTCGATTGAATAAGATTAAAGGTACAATAGCATTCCTTTTAATCCTCTATAAATCAAAACAATGATTGTTTTGGTTTTGGAACAATTTCGTTCACTTCACTTCGCTCTTTTGGCCATGGTGTGATGTCAGACTCCGTTTTTCCTCAAACAGTAGTAGATAGCTACTTTATTTACGTCGCGCTAGACTATAACGCACACTGCAGTAAAGGCAACTGTCTTCCCGGGAAACATCTTTATAGTTCATCTGAGGATATCAGAATTTTGATCCTCAGTAGAGGAGATGGCTCCTCCAATTTGGTAGTCTAACGACCCGCGCATAAAGTCGGACACTTTAGAGTAGAATAGTTTAATGAAGACCGATACCGTGCACTTTCGGTCCCTACTCAGACTGATCAAAGGGTCACCCACTCGTTTACAGATCCGAGGAAGTGATGTTTGACTTCTGTGTTCTATAAGGAAACGGATCCTTACGATCAGTCTACTAAGGGACAAATTCTGTAAATAGGGGAGAAAAATCAATTTTCTACTCGAAAACTAATGCTCCTTAAACAATTTGAAAACATGCCAACCATCAAAATTTTGAACCTCTTCAGAGGTATATCATCGATGAGGCCACTTCCTCAATTTAGACATAGGTCTAAAGGAGATGGAAGTTTGAGTGAGATCACTGTATCTATGATTTTGGTCAGTGACCAACCACCGTACTTTCAATTCCACAGATTTTACGAGATTTTCGATTCCTTCTGCAAATATTCGATTCCTTCCACAGATTTTTTTAAGCATAAACAATATAGTTACAAATTTTATATTAGATTGCTATTGATGCTTCTCTAGGTACTTAGTTCGAAAATCTTGTTCCTTGTAGCATTTTTATCTATCACTTTTACTCCCTTCGAAAATTTCTAAGTTCGCCTAGTCTTAAACTTATTACATAAATTCCGCACACCCTCGGTCCCTGCGCAGACTGACTGATCAAAGTGGTCACCTACCCGCTTTCTGACCGCAACCAGTGACGCTTGACTTCGGTGTTCGTATTCGATAATACGTATACGTTTATCGTAGCAATATCATTAACGTATCGTATAATGTATTCACACTTACATTAATATGTTCGTATTTACGGTACGCATCTTTGTAATCGTGTATTTACGATTAGTCCACTGTGGTAATACAGTCAGACCTCGATATAAGGTCACCCTAAGGGACATCGCAAAAGTGACCTTATAAGCGG